TTACATGCTATTTTATTCAATAAAAGATAAAGCAATAAGCCATTCAGCTCAGCCACTTTGGGTCCAAAATCTTCCAAAAAATAATTTTTTTGATGAGTAATAGTAAAATTTTATTTATTCAAAAACTGATTTAGAGTTGTGATTTCATACATCATCCCACAGAGATGCACGGGCTGCAGCCCCTCCTAGAAGCTTACAAGTAAACTAGGAAAAAAAATACAGGAATCACAGCTGAACCCAAAACAATTCTTCCAAAAAATAATTAATAGCCATGGATAACAACTTTGAAGTTCATCCTATCCATTGTTCTTGGTTTTATCAAGCCCTTTAATTTTTCCTATACATTATAATATTCTTGTAATTAATTATGATTTTCTTTTCAGGATGATAAGAAGAAAGAGCAAGAATTTGAAATGCAAGACAGTATTAAAGAATTACTTCAGTGCCAAATTACCCCTACTGTGCATGGGAATAAAGCAGAATCTAAATCTGAAGGGGCCTCAGTCCATGTGGTACAAGTTTTTCACTGAATTTCTATATTTTCAACTCTTGTTTTTCTTTTTGAGAAAGTGTGCAATCTAGGTTACATTAGTAGTACCAGAATTTATGTCAATGACATGATGTCATAATAAAGCTGTTTGATAAGAGCTGAAGCAGCAGAACTGAATGGCTTATTTCTATAATTTAGTTGATAAATCATTAAGTAGGTTGTAAGCTCCTTACTGGCTCAATGGAATTTCAGGTTGATTACTATACCCCTAAATATTTCATTACATACTATTTTATTCAGTAAAAGATAAAGCAATAACCCATTCAGTTCAGCCACATTGGATCCAAAATCTTCCAAAAAATAATTAATAACCTACTCATCAAACAAAATTAATAACCTTGGATAAATATCGCTATTTTATTGTGCAAGGTGCCAACCAGCTGGTTGGTAAGGCCTCCTGCTGATCATAGCGGAGACTTGGGATCAAATCCCACCTGCACCTGGGTTTTGGGTTGGGGGGCGGGGATGCGCTACCCCAATGGCATTATAATAAAATACATCGCTATTTTATTGTTGGTGTCTCTTACCATCAATGGCATTATAATAAAATGTATTACTGCAATATAGTACTCATTGATATGGAGGTTGGACAACTGTGTATAATGACTTTATGATTACTTTATACATTCAATATTACATTTTTTAAATAGTATTTCCATATACATGGTTAGCATATATAAGTCCTAATAAAGTGTATCATTAGATTCTAGAAAGGGTAAGAAATATTGAGGCTCAATTGCAACAATTGCAACATCTTCAAGCCCTTGAGCCTAAAATACAGAAGCTGGAGCAATTAATAAGCACACAATTGATGGAATGGAAGTCAGAAATGCTCCAGGGGTTCGCTTTGCTGTCACTCCAAGTTCAAAGGTCTTTTGGAGTGCCTGAAGCCAGCATGGACCAGGACCACACCAAAGAGGCAATCAATTTTCAGGTATGTAATTGATCTTGGCAGTTGTTCTCCCACATACAAAGCGGTGCAACTTGAATGGGTATTGACATGCTTAAGGCCAATCCAAGCCTAACCCTAGGAATTGAATATGAAACCTGGGAATGAATTTGAGCCACTGGCATTAGCTATATATGCATTAGTAGGTGGTAGCACAGCCCAGGTTGAGTTAGGTTTAGGTTAATGAGTTGGCTTTCCAAATTTCTGCTAGAAAGCCTCAAAATGTCAAGTTGTTAAGCTTGAGGAGTTTTCAACTATAGACCTCTCAATAGCAAGACAATAACCCAACTGCTATCACAATTCATATTGGCATGTATCTAACTATCTATGTTGCTTGAGTTAAGGTATCTTACCCGATGAGTTTGGGTTTATCTTTTGCAGCCTGAGCTTCAATTCATCCCTAACAAAATAGGGGTGCAAGTTGGGCGGGTTGGGCCGGGTTTATGGTCAACCCGATTTTCCCAACCCGAGCCCAGCCTGCATTGTAATTTGATGCACTTGGATTGTGCTCGGGTTGGTCAATGAACCCACTCTAAAATTATACATATATAAATGTACTTATACAAATATATATATACATATATTTATGTATATATGTAAATATGTATACAAATGTTATATATACAAATATGTATGTATCCATATGTAAATATGTATGCAACATTTTCACATATACACGTATGTATAAATGTATATAGTTGGGCCGGGTTCTGGCTACCTAAGGGCTAGGCCCAAGGCTAGCCTGTGTAAAATTCCGGGCTGGGCCCACTCAAGTTGCACATCTATTGCAAAACTTGCACCCCTACCCCAACATAAGAATCTAAAAAATAGTAGTAGAATTTTTCATTCCATCTAGCATGATCAAATTCCACTGAATGATCTATAAATTCAATTAGTAATAAATTTTATAGTTGATGCTTTAAAATCTATCAATAACATTACATTGAGCAATGGTGGATTTACACTCTTGAATATGGGAATTTTAACATTTAGAGGTAATGAAGCTTTGAGTTGATCAAAACAAAAATGAAGCTTTGAGCTACCCAGTCATTTTCTAAAAATGTCCATGCAGTAGTCTGTTCACCCTATTCAAAGTATGATACGGCATCCACTGTATTTTGTTGTAGTTTTATATTAATGGTGCTTGTGAATTTTGGTGTTTTTCTGTATATAGTAGTACTCTAGTTCATAATTAGAAAATTCTTTCATTAGTTTTCAGTATGCGATCATCTCAGGAAGTTAAAATGCATTATAGGGTAATTTATTCTATCTTTGGTAAGTTTACTTGACTTTATTATCTTCAATCAATGGTTAAAGTCTTAAAATAATCTTAATTCTATATTTTACAAGAATAGTAGACATGTTTTCAGGATTTCTTTATTTTCTTTTTTATTTCCTCAAGAGATTTTGGTTTTAAGTACAGTTAACATGTTTTTGGATAGTCTTGGGTGCCTGAAATCTTCTAGCCCTATATCAGGATCCTAGTTTATGGATAAGACTAATACCAAATTTTTCATATAAGTCAATTTATTTTCTTTTTAAAATTAACATCTTTATCTGTTTATGGGGTTCCTAATAATGTATTAATAAAAAATACTTTGGTACAATTTATCAAAAAAAAAATACTGTGGTACAGAAACATGTTTTCTGGTACCATTTTCACAAGATGCACCTTGAGATGTAGATATTGCAACTTGATCTCTAAACTGTTGCACCCCATGTGTTTGCAAGACCAATGTTTTTTTATTAGCAACTTTGCAAAACCAATGTTAGTGTTGCACTTATGGTGGATCATTATGCATTTCATGTCAATAATACTTTGGGGCTTTTTATTTTCTTTTAAACTGAAATAAATCTTTGTTTTCAAAGGCTTTCTCAACTTCATAGTAACTATGCCTTTTCTTATTTGTAGACACAGGTGGTGTTTCCACATGCTTCAGATTTTCCTTCTTTCACCGAGTTGGAGAAAAAAGCAATTATATATGCTTTATTTAATCCTGTTGGACCGCTTGAGTAAGCAGATGCATATACCTATTATTATTATTATTTGTTGCCACATATAACATTAATTACTCTATATAACAATATCCTTTTATATAGTGAAAATTTGGTAATTCTGTGGAAGTTTCACCTAACAAGGTCGGAGCTTCTTTGTGTGAGAGATGGCAAGTGTGTTTCTAGTGCTGTAAGTATTCAAGACAGACTATGGTGTTTCACATTACATATTAACCTCTATAACAAGGAGTTAAAATACAAAGATTTGTTTCTCATGCAGGTTATGAATTGTGTGGTGGATGTACTAGTGCATGAACAGTTTGGTAATGGTTTGGTAAAACACCATTACTTTCCCACATCTTTTGCGGTAAGATTTCAATTTATATTTACATTCAATTTACTAAGATGACCTACCATTTCTTATCTGCCAATTTCCTAATTGTAAATGCAGGAAAAGATTCTAAAAGATGAACCTCCAAGTCTTGAGGAGTTGAAAGTTTTTTATGAACCAAGTATACTTAAATATGACTTGTTGCAATGTGAATTGGTACGTCTTGGATAACACACGCAATAGATAAATTAATTTTGAAGTACAACTAACTATAATATTTTGCAAACAGTTATTCATCCCCCTTTGTGTTGATTCCCACTGGTTCATATATGTCATAAATCTAAGAGACAAGAGGGTGGAAGTTCTTAACAGCCTACCAATGTCTGGATTCACTGTAGAGCTTAATTATCTGTCTAGAATGGTTTGTATTGCAGTAAATATTGTTTTAATTGTTCTCATCATCACCTGTTGCCATGTGCTAATCAAAGATTGCGCTTAATTTTCAGAAAGAAACTTGTAATGAAATTATGAGTAGCTTGAGTGGAAGACCCATGGCGATTACAGAATGGCCTGTGTTAATTCCCGAGCTTCCTATTCAAAAAGCCAAGTAATTGATTTAATAATTGATGCCTTTAGTATTAACTTTGACATTTTTAGTAACTATAACGGATCAGATGCAGATGTTTAAATGGTTGTTGTTATTGTAACAGTTATGATTGTGGTATATTCATGATATGTTATATGGAGTATTGGGATGGACGACTAATGAAGTCCTTTGCACAGGTAATTGAAAATTGAGTTCCAAAAACTTTTTCTTTTTTTATGCCTTGTTTCATGAAACGTTTTGTGTTTCTTAAACCTTTTTTTTTTATTTATATGTTGTTTAACATTTCCAAAATATAGGATGATATCCCATACTTGCGGATGAAGATTATAGCTGATTTGTTGTTGCACCCAGAAAACAAGGTATTTGAAGCAATTAAAAAGGATCGGTTTCTCTAGTTTTTTCTTCATATATATCACACCATCTCAATCATGAAATTGGTTGATTCATGATATATTAAATGGAGCCAACTCAAAAAACTGTTGTAGTTTAAGCCCAAAAATTAGGTCACTTCAGATTAGGTTGTCCCATATCATACTGCCTGTCCATTGTACTCTCTTAGTATGTATATAGTATTACAATTTCATAAGAGATAATATTCTTTTTGTAGGTAACACTTATAAGATGATGCTTCTCCAATGTAATTTTGAAACGTCTCATCTGGGAAACTCCAAAGGCAAATGTCATAGACATAGAGGTTAGTAAGAGCTATCTCTAATCATGACTAAAGAAGCCACGTGAATCTATTATCGTTCCTCTTTTGTTTCAGCATCACTAACTCGCTTGGTATTGGCATCCAGAGGGTCACTCCAGATCATCACAATGATTCCATTTGGAGGAAACCAGCCAACGGCATCTTAAAAATCAACCTCGGTGACGATGGGAGCTTCTCATTCAGAAGGGCGTTCATTTTTGTCATGGGGAGAGCAATTAGTTTCTGTTGTTCTAACCCGAGGAGAGGTTGAAGCTTTGGGCTTTTTTTTTCAATGAATTGCTATTTGCCAAGGAATTAAATCTCTCGGCAATTTGTTTAGAAGGTGATTCACAAAATCTTGGATCGTTCCTACTTCCTGGGAATAGCTCTGCCGTCCCACTGTGGCTATGCAAATATATAGCAGATTGCAGGATCTGTGGCCGAATGCTAAGGTTGAGGGAGTGTGGATGTATACGTAATGATGTGTATAGTCTATTCAATACATTTTCATCCTACTGATGTTTCTCTTTTTAACTTAGCAAATGGCAAAGAATTGTAAAAAATGTTTTGTTTTTAGTTTCCAGAACTGATTTTTCTGTAGGCTCAGTTTGGAAAGAGTGTAAATACAAATATGTACTGTACAGTCTTGTATTTTGTATTTCTAAACCAGGATTTGAACTGTAGTACAAATACAAGTATGTAGAGTGCAAAAACTTGTATTTTGTACGTATTTGTACTGCACACATTTGTATTTTTACTCTTTCTAAATTGAGCCGTAGCTTCATCATAATACATAATTGACTGTGGGAGTCAGATGTAGACCATGTGTTTAAATAACAGGGAAAAACTTTGGTTGTTTGGAAAAAAAAAAAACAGCTTTAGGCTGTTTTCTAGCTTCCTACACATGACACGTTAGTTGCCTCGAGTCCTCTCATGATTCTCTTCATAAAAATCTTTTCTTTTAGATAGTTTTTCTTCTTATTGATTCTGTTTTCTTTTTTTTTTCATAAATTATGATGGCGGAATTGAAAAAAGGGGTAATGTAAAAGTTATGTAATATCATTTTCCCTGCAAAAAAATTAATCAGGAAATTAGTAATTATATAATGGAAGTCAATATTGTATTTCAAGTTAATGTAAGTTAATTGAATTTATTAATTATTGATCGTTTATGGCTATTTTTTTTCATTTTATTGCTTTTATAATTGCTATGGATCTTTTTATTAGGACAGTTTTCAACTTGAATTATTTAGAATAGTTGAAATAGGATTTTATTCACAATAGAGAGGGAGGGAATGGCCATTCAACCTAGGTAGTGGGATTCCATTTCTGTCCTTCAGATTTCAGACCACTACTCCACGAACCAAACCAAATGGTCCCTTGGTTAATTGTTTATTAACAAGTCACTGTTCATTAAGTTTTCTCTCTCTCTAAGGGCTACACAATGGGGATAGCCCATCTCCAACCCATAACCCCCCAACCCAGGTGCAAGCGGAATTTGATTCCCAGTCTCCACTACAATTAGTAGGAGACCTTATCAACCAGTTGGTTGACACCTTGCAAATGCATTTTGTAATTTTATTCTTAATTAAATTTATCATTGCTTGTTTATGGTGACGGGATCTGCTCCTCACAAATGAGCACCACACATGCACATCCACCGTATATTGGGAACATCTCCCGTGAATAATAACTAATAAGTACGGGAGATGTTCCCAATGCATGATAGGATGTGCGTGTGAAGCGCCAAATGTGAGAAGCAGATCCGGTTTCTTGTTTATGGTAATTTTTTCTGTCTATTTTGCCCTAAGTTTCAGGAAAAAAAGTATAAGCATCCTTTTTTAATGCAATTCATCGTTAAATTATCATTTATTTATGCTGTTTTTTAGCAAATAATAAATTAATAACCATTTAGTCGGGGCCTAAGAGTTGAGAGATCCATTGAAATTCCAATGCTGCGTCCGGAACCTTGGAACCTTGCAACGTGTGGCTGGTTAACTGTTTGAGACAGTTCACCGTAGTTATGCATAAATTTTCAATTTGGGCACCTATATGCAAGGTTGTCCACATCACCATTGCTCTCCATCCTCCCTTCCCTCTTTCTTGATTCTTCATTAAACTCTCTCCTTCCTCTCTTCCCCCTTTCCAGCCCTCCGAATGAGCCTCTCTCCTTCATTCTTTTTCCTATCCAGCCCTCTCATTATACCACATCATGTATATCAACTAATATTAAACTCTCTCTCTCTCTCTCTAAAATTTTCAGTCTTGGGTGTTGTCCATTGGCAACTACTTCATAAATCATTGAGTTTTCCAGGTATGCTCTCTTTTGTTTTTGTTTAGACAACGAAAAAGATCAGTATGCTCTGTTTTGTTTCTGTTCAACGAGCAAAATAAGATCAAAATTAAGAGGAGAAATCAATTTTGATTAAACTTTACTAGTGGCACACCTAAGAATGGTAAAAATTTTATAGGGATTTATGAGTTTTTTACAAGGGGAAAACCTTGAGAAAATAGGACTGTTTGGTGTTGGTGTTTGCAATGCAACACACAGGAAGGAAAGAGGAAAGAGGAGGGGGAGAGAGAGCTGGTGGTTGCACCTCTATAGGGATGAGAGAGAGAGATCAAATTTGGTTGGTCTGTGATTTAATTACTTTTGATACCCGAGACCCAAACAACTCCATGGTGCAATAAAAGGCACTTTAACTTAAACAGGGACTCTATACATGATCATAAAACCTGCACAGTTTGGACTTCCAAAAACCTGCTTTGTCTCTCGTACATGGATGAATAGTAGTAAGTGGGTGGAAAAAATTGTCTCAAGCCACTATCAGGATGCTTTGCCTCCTTTGGGCCTTATCAACAGCTATGCAAAAGCCTTCAATTCGAACAGAGCTCTAAGAGATTCTCTGTTCACAAAATTAGACATCTTGAATAAGAGGATTTCTTTCGTAGGCAAGAGGGGGAACCGAGTCAATAGGTGGCGATGCCTTGCATGGATAGGAGGGGGAACCGTAACAATTTATACAAGAAACATGTTTTGGGAGCTGGTTTTGGGTTGTATTCTTCCCGGAGAGGAGCATCTCTCCGATGGTCGGAACATTGGTCAAGTTCAATTTTGGCAAAATCCGATCCACTACAAGGAATTTCTACAAAGGTAATAGTAGGTGGTCTTTATTCTGAGTCATAGTTATTTTGGGTTTAGGGTTATAATGGATTTTGTTATGTAGGTACTAGGTACATAGAATACAGGAGAGAGGAGCTCTGAACTATGTCTTTACAGAGAGCATATCTCCGCCACACAAGGAGCCGCCCCACAACGCCTTACAGCACATCCCCGCCGTGTATTAGAAACATCTCTCGATGATGATACTATCGAGACTGATATTATCATCGGGAGATATTCCCAATACACGATGGGGATGTATTGTGGGACGGAGATGTGAATTCGTCTTTAGACAACCATAACTTGTAATTGACCTTAAGGCTATTGGCATTCTTGATTCAAACTTGATTGAATCAGTTTGCTTGTGTTCAGATGATTTTCTCTCCTACTTTACTCAAACCGAAACTTCAACACATTAGAGAGAGATGTTGAGTTTTTCTCTCCTACTTTACTCTCATTGCGCTACAAATTAAGACGGATGTTGAGTTTTATTTCGAAATTTTGTAAAATTGACCAAAAGGGTAATGTTGAGAATTTAGTCAATTGTCAGAAAACTTTAAAGACAATTTCTAAACATGGGGGCAGAGTTGATCAATTTCCTAAAACTTAGTGGTAATTTAAGAGATTTAACAACATTTGACTATATTAATATATGGCTATATGAGATGGCCTACCCTTTCTCTCCTTATCCAATCAAGGCCCCCCATCCTTGCAAATACATGCATTTAATTTTTTATTAATGTATTAAAATATTAATGTTTAAACTACAACAATTTTGAAAACAGTGTAAGTTAAAATTTAAATATTGAAATAAGATGGTAAAAAAAATCTAGACTAACAATAAGAGAAAATAGATAATACAATAAAAAATAATAAAAATAATATAGTTAGATTCCATTACTCGCAAATAATTATTATTCATTAAACACTTAATTATAGTTAATTAATTAAGTAGAGTTGATAATTAATTACCTAATTAATTATGATTAATTATTAATGTTAAAAACGTACTCTTAATAATTGATAAGTAATTATAGTTAATTAATTAATGAACTTTTTGAAAAAGTAATTTAAAAGTAAATTACCATATTTAACGAATTATTTAAATTATAATTGTTGTTATTTTAATTACTATAAATTTATTTCATATTAACTAAAATAAAAATAATTATAATTAATATATATATATTATTAAAACTATCATTAATGATTATTTAATTAAATAGTATATTACTTACCACTATTAATAAATATTGTTAATAACGTTCTGACAATCGACTCGTCGACCATTTAGCTCAAACGGATGGCACGTTCTAACAACAAAAATTAACCATTTTGGCCACTGATTTTCAAGTCGACGGTTCAATCATCCAGTTTGAACAAACAATCCGTTCTAACAACAAAAATTATAGGCAAAAAATTGAATTTGTGAGGTTCATTAAATAGTATCGTACGTGTTATGTCATTTGAGCGTGTGACTCATACGACCCAAAAACAGAATCGTTTTGGCCACCGATTTTTGGATCGACGGTTCGGTCGTTCAGTTTGAATGAACGGCCCGTTCTAACAACAAAAAATTATAAGCAAAAATTTACGGAATCGTTTTGGCACCGATTTTCAGGTCAACGGTTCGATCGTCTAGTTTGAACGAACAGTCTGTTCTAACAACAAAAATTATAGGCAAAAAATTGATTGTGTGAGGTCCATTGAGCAATATCATACATGTTATGTCATTCAAGTGTGTAACTCATATGACTTAAAAATGGAACCATTCTGGCCACCAATTTTTTGGTCGACAATTTGATCGTCCGATTTGAACGAACGACCCTTTCTAACAACAAAAATTAAAAAAATAAAAAAACAGCCAAAAACCATTGAATGGGTCAATGGGTTGACGATTCAACCACTCAAGTCAATGGGTCATTGACCAATTCAATGGTTTTTGGCCAGAGACCAGGATTGGGGTAAAATAGAACTGGTTGCCTGGGCAATTTTCAATTAAAAAATTTTAAAAAAAAAAATAGACAAGCCATTCTGAGAACAAAAATTATATGCAAAAAATTGAGTGTGAGGTTCATTAAGCATTACCATACGTGTTATGTCATTCGAGCGTGTGACTTACACAACCTGAAAACGGAACCGTTCTAGCCACCAGTTTTTGGGTCAATAGTTCAATTGTTCAATTCGAACGGATGGCCCGTTCTGATAATAAAAATTAAAAAATAAAAAAATGACCAAAAACCATTGAACGGGTCAATGGTTCAACCGCCCGAGTCAATGGATCATTGACCGATTCAACGCTTTTTTGCTACGGGCCGAGATTAGGATAAAACGGAACCGGTTGCCTAAATAGCCAATTAAAAAAATAAAAAACAACCAAAAACCGTTAAACAG